AATAAACATAATGATATAATTAATATAACAATGTGCAAAAGGAATAAATCGAAATATTCAAACTTTCTACCAAAGCCACTCTAACCGAACATTTTCTTCTGTTTTCTTATGAGTTAATAATACTGCCAGTGTATAAATTTTTCAATCTTTGTTATTGGAATCTCTTTATTTATTTATTTATTTATTTTCTTTTTGAGTGTATATATTACAATAGTTTGCCATTAAAATATTCATAAATTTTTTAATTTCTAAATAATAAATTTTCGACGCGTCTTGAAGTACGAGCCCGAGGCAAGCCTTCAGTTACCATTATATAGATTATATATGATATGGGAATAAGGTCACTTCGTTCTCTGGAAGATGAATTATTCAGTATCTAATAATAATAATAAAGATTGAATACTCAAACATAAAATTAATACTAAATTTGCAGTTTCTTACAGTAGCTATTTCTTCCTATTCCTAACTAATTACAGCTTATCCTATATATTTTCTTGGTATCAATACCACAACACAAGACAACGAAGGAAAAGACAATGCAAGGAAATGAAATGCCTTATTTGCTTGCTCGTGGCAACCATAAATTGACCAAATAATTAAGCAGACATAAATGTATTTTTCAAAGAAAAAAAAATTTCTTATATATTCAGCTAGAAGTTAGTAGGATGAGTCAATTATTTGCATTATCTACAACTGCACTCTTGTCAAGCTTTTGTAGGAAAGTTGGTGCAATGTTATTTTCTATGCTAGTAAAGATCAAGCTCCCAAAAGGTGTACTATCTTACATTTATTCGAACTGCTTAGTCACACAGAAAAGGTAGGCATGTCAATGTTGAATACAGGATTCAGATGGGGGCATACGCATATGGTTGAGAAGTAAAAGATTATATATATATATATATATATATATATATATTAAATCAGATTTCGTATCAATTAAGACTAAATCTATCACTTTTTAAGCTAAGCAAATTCTAAAGCAGTAAAGGATTATAATTCATTTTTTGACATCATATGATCGAATAACAGAAAGATTGAGTAATGCATATTCCACAAAAACCTATCTGGTTTCTCATCATTCACATAAACAAATTAGACATTGTTTTTCAGTATATGCCCCGAATTTGGATTTGTAGTTCTACCAAAACTAAGTTTCGACCAATAATAGAAACAAATTAATAGGAAAAATAATGAAAATTTATAGTAAGTAATGGGCTCTATCAGGATCATTTCTAGCTAGCTGCTCAACATAACCTAGATATAATGGACATGACATACCAAATGTGAAAGAAAAAAATAATAATAATTACACTCACTTGAAAGAGAGTCTTCCTTTTAAGATAGCTCAATGCATATCACTACTTCAATGTCTTTGCTGATCAAGAATTATTAGGTTCTAACTTTTTTTTCTTTTTTAGAAAAATAGGTTCAAATTGGAATTCAACATACCTCAATTTTAGTAGAGATTTAAAAATATATTCTCTTTCTCTCCTTAATTTAAATAAGATTTTATCTTATATTTGATCCTTCTATTGTTCGAATTTTTTTTAATTGGGACTTTTTATGTTTTTTCAACTTAATTGAAACCCTATACTTTTTGAAATTTGTTCATTTAGACCCTCCGTTATAACGTCGTCAATTATTCATCCAACGTGATATGTTTTCATTAATGGTAACCAATCACTAAACAACATGTAACAAAATGGGTCCCAAAATACAATATTTCTCTCTTAATTAAAAAAAAATTATAAACTAATTTTAATAATAAATTAATACAAAAAATAAAAATAACAAATGTGAAAAGTCCTAAACCCCCTCCCCCACATCATCATCATTATTATCATTAAGACAAACATTATGGTACTATCATTATTATCAATAACAACGGAACCTAGAATCCAGAGAATGAGAGAATCGAAGACAAACATTATGGTACTATCGTGTATGCAAAAATATTTATTATTAAATCATTAAGAATTAGATACAAGCATGAAGCGATAACAACCGAAGGTTCATTAATTTATTAATCACAATTTATTCACAACAAATACAATGGCTACTCGGAAAGCAACTTAGAAAGCCACAAACAACTAGCTAAGAAAATTAAGGCATGAGGAAATAAAAAAGACAAATACATTTAGCCTTAAGCCAATGTCTATAAGTAATCAATTGTTGTAGAAGACCCGACCCACCAAGACCCTCACAACAAGAAATCAAAACAAAGATCAATAATGAAAGGGCAAATAGTAGGATGAAAAGAAAACATCAAGAGTAAATCCAGGAAGACAAGCCCGATAAAATCTTCCATTTCTAACCACGACAACGGCTTCAACCACTTGGAAAACATTCTTCATCCTTTGAACAACCAATTCTACTTAAGATGTGATGAAATCTCATCGGAATTGATCAAACTGGACAAGAAATCAATTCCGACCTATTTTTAAAGACTCGTCTCTATTGCTCGTTCTAGAGCAAATAAGACTACCTAATGACTAGAGAATGGCTTGCTAGGGTTTTCCGAGTCGATAGCTAACTTTTTCCTCTCTTGCCATGGCTGAAATCGACGATGAGTAGAAGGGAAGCCAAACATTCCGAGCATGTTGTGTTACTAAATCTTTTGTGGGTATTTTTAGAATTTTTTGTTCTTTTTTTTTTTTTTTTAATTTCGGATTTGATTGGTTCTTAAACTTGAATGTAGATAACTTAGGATGGGTTTTGGCTTTGTTCTTAAGCATTGTGTTTCCTCTTAAATCCAAATGTTATTTGATTTTTTTTCTCTTTTAATTTAAGTCTAGATCGATGAAAGATATTTAGGAAAGGAAACAAGAGAATGATATTGAAGAGTTTGAATAATGGGGCTAGGGTGAATTTGTCTTTTCCAATAATTTTTTTAATTTTAACTATTGGTTTATTATTAAAAAAAAAATTTATTTCAACACTATTATTTTGGCCCATAACGACACATGTCGATTAATGATTGGTGGTTATTAACGATAGTGTGCCACGTTAGATAAATGGTTAGTGAAGGGTCCGAATCGGTAAGTTTCAAAAGGTAGAGGATTTTAATAAAGTCGAAAAAATGTAGCGGGTTTCCATCAAAAAAAATTTAAACGAGTATTAGGACCAAATGTGAGTTAAACCATTTAAATATTGTTAGAGAACCTATTCTACATTGAATAAATATAAAATAATTAATTAATATATAAAGTATTATAGAGCTTAAATTTTTTGGATAAAACTAAATTTTAACTATCAAATTTATTAAATATTGAATAAATTATATCTTAGTCCCTCTCATTTCGAGAAATGAATTAATTAGTCCTTTCGGTTTTAAAAACTAAGTATTTAGTTCTTTTTGCTATTTTTTAAATTTATTTTATAAATAGAAAATAAATAAATAAAAAGTTAAAATATAGAAAGATCGATGAGAAAAGAAGATGTTTTATAAAATAAAAAAAAGTTAAATTAGTCATGATCAATAATAATTAATTTTTAAAACCAAAATGATTAATTAATTTATTTCTCAAAACAAGAAGGACTAATTTATAATTTACTCAATAAAGATAATGGTTCCGTATACTATTATTATTTTTAACATTTTGGATTGAAATGGTTGTTTACACAATTTATGTCTTTAAATTGAGATTTTAATGTCTTGTTTCTTTTCTAAAAAAAAAAAAAAGAATATGTAGGTATTTACAAAAAGATGATATATAAAGGTAGTCTCGATGTTAAAGACTAGTATAAATTATATTCTAGGACCTCACCCATCGACTTAAGCTTTTAGGTGAGATGTTTTTTTAATATGGTATCGAGCTTGGTTGACCTTGAGGTCCCGAGTTCAAGTCTCACCATCCCCAATTTCTCAAGTATTAAGCACAAGGCAATGTAGACTCGTGCAAGTTTCATGCCCCAAATGTTGGGCCTTTCACTTGAAGGGGTGTGTTAGAGACTAGTATAAATTATATTCTAGGACATCACCTATCGACTTAAACTTTTAGATGAGATGGTCTTTTAACGATGGTCTTTTAATACTCAAGAGAACATTGTGCATGACAAGTAAATTATTATCATTGTAATGGTGTTTTAAGATTCTAATGTCTTGTTTCTTTTCTATAAAAGAGGATATATAAAGGCAGTTTCGACTGATGCTTGTGCCCGACAAATAAATTACTATCATTGTAATATATGGTGTTTTAAAAAGTTCTATTTAGCTGTATTTTAGTTGATCGGCTGAAAAATATAAAATTGATATTTTTAAAGTTTTTTGATATTTTTATATAACAAGCATTAAAAAACATTAGAAAAGATATTAATTTGAATTTTATTTTTATTTTTTTTGAGTCCAAACTGATGCAGTGCAACGATACTACCAAAAAAACACTTATAAGGTAACCAATTTATATATATTCCAGCATTTAAAAATCAAAATACTTGATAAATAACGTACTTATATTTTATCTCTGAAATTTTACAATTCAACATGCATCATCTGTAGATGGTTCTATATATATATATATATATATATAGACACACACACCACAAGATATTTTCAATTACAGTAAGAGATAAGAAGCTGAACATTCACAAAATTTCAAAAAAAAAAAAAAAAAAAGACTAGGTTCCAAGCAACAAATTCCGGAAAATAGTACTAAAAAGTTTCCGACTGATTGATAATTTTATATTAGTGCAATTACGTACAAAGCTTTTTTTCCCCCAATATAAGAAATATAGGCAAACAAGTCACCGAATTTTTTGCTTTATCTGGAAAATGGTTCATCCCCTAACACATAATGATTTCAAATTGAACCTGGGGAAGAGTGAAAGACCAAGAAACAATTAATAAAAATTTTTCTTTTCAAAGGCCGTTTGATTTCAACCACAAAAGGAATATGGTACTGGCGGAGACCTCGCCATGGATATGAAAGCACTTGGTCTAAACAAGACTTCTTAGGGTTTATGCTCTCTTCATCACCCACACTTGAAAATGGTACAATCCATCACCTTTTATTCGTAGTTATCAACTTCTTGATAGCAACTTTAGAACAACTGGCTCTCATATGATGTGGTCCTCCTAATTTTGCCAGTCTATACAGGTCATGCTCAGCTATAGAGAGAGAGAGAGAGAGAGAGAGGATTATTGGATAAGTGGAGAAAACGGCATGTATAAATGGAAAGAAAAATAAAGTACACAAGTGAGGGGAGGAGAAATGAATGCCTGAGAAAAAGAGTTTTGATAAATAGGACTATGACTATTTCAAAATGAGATGACATCTAGGGTACGTTGGGGAGAGTTTTAATAATAGCAGTGGATAACAAAATGTACAGTATAAAGCACCAACAAAACCCTTCATCTTCACAGCTTATGTTTGAAGTTATATTTTGTTTTCTCAAAAAAATAAAAATAAAAATAAAAATAAATAAATAATAATTCACAAATTTTATTTTTCTTTGAAAAAAAAATAATTTCTAATATGCTAAATAATTTATGGACAATATGTTTATGATGGAGATATTATTGTATGAAAGACAGCGACAGGGAGGTAGCTGCTTTTGGCTTGCTTTCCTAAACCGATAAGCACGCATGGGCTTGGAAGGAATCCAACAAGCAACATTCTAACATAGATTTAGACTTCGATAGAAAGAAAGACATAAGTGTCAAAGTGAGTGAATGTGATGGGTTTTCTCTTTTAGGTGAAAGCGATGTTGTATGCATTGTATCCCTTGACAGTCAAAGCAAGCATTGGCTCTAATCACTCCTGACAGGCTCGCAGTATACATCCCTTTTAGCATAGCAAATAATTGTCCTTCTTTTCTAGGGTTAAACATAGCCACGTAGAAGGTAAAAAATGAAATACAACTACTACCATAATAAGAATCTTGTCCTGTCAAAAAAAAAAAAAAAACTCACTCGCAAAAATATTGAATATGAAGTCCATGCAAAGTCCTCGGTTTGTTGAAAGAAGAGAGTGGCACTCGTGCTAGGTATTTCCTGGCTACCCACTTCCCACGTCACTGCTGTTCATTTTCTCTCCTTCCTTTTCATTCTCTTTAAGTTAAAAAAAAAAAAACAACTTTTTATGAAAAAGAAAAAAATGATTTTCAAGAAAAACATGGGTCCTTTGTCGCCCATAAATTCCCCTCTCCTAGGGTGCCTTAACTCCCACCATCATTATACAAATCCCCATCCATTTATCTCCCATTCTTGCACCCCAACCTCTCATGAACATTTAGTACTTGTGTTGTGCTATATTTGCTGTCTTTCTCATGCTCTAGTCGGGAAGGCAAATCGATTTTCCCTGTCTTTCTCTATCTTAGCCTCACCAAACACATTAATTTGTAAACTAGCATACACAGACAAAAATACACACACAACTAAACAGAGCGGCAACAGCTGTCTTTCTCAAGGTAGCTATCTAGTAGCTCTCTGAGTGAGGGAAAAAGGCATAAAAAAAAAAAAAAAAGATAAGTAAACAGTAGCAAATTGCTGTCTCTCTCACTTATGCTTTCCATTGTTTGCAGAGAAGCGAATTTGAAAAGGATGGGCTTGATCAATTAGAGAAGTAGAGAAGTGGAGAACTCTTTCCACAGGAGGCATATGTTAGGTAACAAAATGTTCTAGTACATGTCATTCTCAAGCTACTAGTCCACCAGAGAGAGCTCTACGGCGGCTAGGTGTTGTTTGGTGCAATTACAAAGCTCAAATGTTTTCATTAAGCAACAATGGCAATGACCCCATCTCCTATAGTGACCAACAGGCTTATAAAATGCCCTTTTTCAATGACATCATTTCCAATTCCAAACAAGATGTGCCTCCTCCTTCATCTTTCTGCCACTTGCCCTCTCCTTTGTTCACTTATGATCAGCTAGAATTAGAAGACCGTTCCATTTTTCTCCAACAAAACTACGACCTCTTACTTCACCAGCAACCGTTGAGAGATACAGCAACTAGTACTACCCTATCTCAGAGTACTGTTGTATATAACATGGCGGATTCCAACAAAGATGACGATATTAATCAGCTAATAACCGAAATCTGCAACAGGCAATCCAACAACAGCACTGATCAGATCCCAAGAAAGAGATCTTCTAAGAGAGATCGTCACAGCAAGATTAACACGGCTCAAGGACCAAGGGATCGGAGAATGAGATTGTCACTAAAGGTTGCCAGAGAGTTCTTTGATCTGCAAGACAAGTTACGCTTTGACAAAGCTAGCAAGACTGTGGAATGGTTACTCACTCAGGCAAAAACTGAAATCAAGAAACTATCTAGTGGCGTCTCCCTCATGAATGATAGCTGCAGTGTTGGCACCAAGAGTGCATCTTCTACTTCTGAGTGTGAAGTGCTGTCCGAAATCGATATTGGCGCCACCAATAAAGGAAGGAGTGTTTCTAAGGGTAAATCCTCACTGTTTGTCAAGAAAGAGAGAAGGACAACTAGTGGTGCATTACGTAAAACTGCATTCAGCCCTTTTGCTAAAGAATCAAGGGAGAAGGCAAGGGCAAGAGCAAGGGAGAGAACGAAAGAAAAGTTGGGGAGTCTTAGAATCGACGAATTGAAGCCTTGTCATGAAGTCGAAGCAAAAAACAATGAATTGAATCAATTCGCTGGTTGTTGGAGTCCATTCGACACAGGTGATCAAGAATCTGGTACTCACAATATCAATCCTTCCTTAGAAGCCCAACTGGCTGAAGTTGAAGTTCCAATCTATCAGGAGCAAGAGGAATTAGTTACTACCGAGGGCATGATTGATGAAATTGTGGTGAATATGGGCAAGTGGAGTCCTCCCTTTCCCAATGATCATCTGCACTGCAATGGAATCCCTCAAGAGGTAAGCTCCAAAGAGAAGTTTCTTCATTTTCCAAGATAATAGTTATTGATGATATTTGATTTGGCTATATATTCAAATATAACATGTTAATTGTTATACTTGTTCTTCAGATTTCTGACCATCCTATATATAATTGGTTGCAGCATCAATTCACAGACTTTCAATATTCTTTGAACAAAAAATGGGATGTTGTTTGAACAAATGGGATGATCAGGCCTACAACATTGACGGTGTGTGCTAGATAGCACGGATATTCATCTCTCACCCTTGAGGTGTCAAGTGGACAAAGATTTCAAGAATAATATGCATAGCTTGTCTATGATCTGTTAGGAGCGTAATATAAAAGTTGTATCTTTTCGGCATGAGATTTTCTAGTGAACTGTTTTTTCAATGATTGTTAGCCTAAAAATTTAATAAGTATCTCACTTTAAAAGTTTAAATTATTTAAATTATTAGATGATGTTCTAAAAATAGTTTTATATTATTTTCATATTTTTTAAATAATTTTTTTTAAAACTTAAAACTTTCATAAACTCACTACTATCTTATGCAATTAAAAAAGAAAATTAAACTATAATGTAGCATGAACATGATAAGCTTTACATATTAATGATATGAAATCATTTATATTACAAAGAAAATTAAAAAAAAAAGGATAGTTTACTATTTATTTACTATATGTCAACAATCGTTTTTTGCTTGATTGTAGTTCCTTTTTTGCTACTGTGTGCTTTATTTGATTTGATCCATTGATTTGCCTTGTATGATTGCAATGGTTCCAGTTTTGCTGCTATCCTTGGATGCTCTTGCAACCGAATCCTCCTTCAGTTGCATATTGATCATTTATCTTGGTTTTTGATTGGGCCGGGTGTCCTAAGAAGTTGCCTAGCAAACATACAACATCTGTTGATTAATTAGAATTGCTTGTATACTTATTTAGTAAGTGTAGGGCTTGAATTCCACATGAAAGATTCCTAAAATAGAAGGGCATGGATTGCCATTTTTTTTTCATAAAACGTCAGAAAATGATGTAAAAGGATTTTAGAAACTGATGATTTTCTATTTTCTTATCATGTTATGGCTATATAGATGCTATTTCCCAAGAACAACATTCTATTCCTGAACTCGTTGGTTTTTAGAAAATTTTCTAGAATCAAGTCTGTCAAAAGCAACAATTTTTCTGACTTCGTGATTTTGCATCACCCACCTTACGTCAGCACAAGTCATTTCTGCACTTCATTTAACTTATTATGTTTAAAATTTGTTTCTTGATAAACAGCAAGATGCAAAGAAAAATAAAGAAGAACCAAATCATTATGAAATGTTTATTGAAACTCGAAAAAGATAAGTTGGATAATCTTATAAGAAATCAAATGAGGATACAGCATTGTAAAAAGTTTTAATTTTTAATTTTCTTATATTTACAATTTATAAAAAGATTTGATAAGAATACAAGTTCAATTGTTGCAATTACTATATTTTATTACTAATAAATCGTTTTTTCTAAAATTGCACCTTCTTTAGTGTCATGAACTACTTGAATTTGGAAGGCAACTACATGATTGATACTTTAGTCTCTTGTTATGCTTTTTGAACTTTGAACTTTAGTCTACTAAATTTGTCCTGTAGGAACTTTGAACTTTTTTTTTTTTTCAAATATTAAAATTTTGTTTTGCTTTTTGATGTTTTGTTAGATATTTGGATTATTATTTTTCTTGTAATAGATTGCTTATTGTTTATAATTATTTTGAGAAACTCCTTAGATTATTACTTTCAATTTAGATATTTGGATTATTATTTTTCTCCCAATTAATTAATATTTGGAATTATTTTTTAAAAAATATTGCAAATAACATGATAATCATTGCATTTTATTAAAAATCTGTTGCAATTAGACAAAAAGCAATTACAATAATATTATAAATTATTGTATTAAGTATTTTATAAGCCATTGCATTAATATTATAAACCGTTGCATTATAAATAGAAAAGATTAGTTTATATATAAAAAAATCATTGCATTAAAACAACCAAATTATTGCATAAAACAATAGAACAACCGTTGTTAATGATTATAAACCACTACATAATATATTAGATGAACCATTGTATTAGTTGATAAAAACTATTGTGTAAAATATCTAAATAAGCATTGCATATATTATAAGAATCGTTGCATACATTTTGATTTAAATCGATGATATATCATTACATTTTGATTTAAATCGATGATATATCATTCTCGAAACCGCTACCTAAAGTAATAAGATAAACGCTGCAACTTATGGATATTATGCAAAGAAAAGTGTTTCGTTATCGTTATATATAAAAATCATTGAATTAATGTATTGCAACGTTTATCGGATGTAGCGATTAGTAAATCATTATATTAAGTGAAATGCGGTGATTTTATTTATTTGTAGTGGTTTCAACCACTTGCATAAAACTTTATATGTTGTAGTGGATATATGTTATATACTTTGAAAATGCAAAAGAGGGCTTGATCACTTTAAACATCATACATTTCTCTCCGCACTTTTCTTGTTTTTACCCCTCAATTATATAATTTATATTGGAGTCAAATATATATGTGTGTGTGATTCTATGATTTTTGTATGATATATTTTGGAATTGATATGACTTTCCTCTCAATGTTGTCATTTAGGGTTAGCTCGCTACTATTTCTCTTAACATGCAATTCTTAGGCCTTGCATAATTTCGTAAGTGCAATTAACCCAATTGGTTAAAAAAAAATAAAAATAGGAAAAATGATTGAATAGACGCATGCATGATTCATCCACCGTCCACTTTCAAGTGTGTCAGACGTTAGTACAGAAATTTCAAAGCATATATATATATATAGAGAGAGAGAGAGAGAGAGAGAGAGGGTTTGCAAGTTCACGAGGTCTGATCTACAATCGTCGATAGATTTTGCTACGTGCAAGCAGTGAATTTGGAGTCTTTTGTAATTTATTCACATGCTTAAAATGATAATAATTGAATTGTTAAAAAATAATATAAATTATATTTTAAAATTTTATTTAATAGTTTAAATTTTTAAGTGAAATGATTCTTTAACATAATATCGAGCTTTAATAACTAAACGGTTATGAATTCGAATCCTATAACCTTAATTTTTTTTCTGATTAATTAAACATAAATACGATCCTTTGACATAAATTTTCTCATCCTATATTTCTACGGCATTAAAATTGATAAACAATATATGAATTTCACTAGTTATATTTTAATATACAAGGATTTATTTATTTTTATGAATAATAATTTAAGGATTCTTAAATTTCAGGATACGGTTTGGTTTGTTTTTTTTTTTTTTTTTCTTTTGATGAGAATCGATTTGTATATTAACTGATAATCGATTCTTAAGTTTTGTTAGATACCTATATATAGCAATAGAAATTATGTTCTTGATATATAGCAGTTCTCTTTCCTCCCTGTCTGTTTCTTCCTTGGCCTTGGGTTCCTTCTTGATCTTTAGTGTTCAACATATCAATTACTAAAACAAACAAATAAATAAACAAACAAAACATGTATTTATATAGTTAGATAATTGAAGTTGTGTTTTTTTAAAAAACTTAAATTTTATGATGGATGATTCTTTTTTAATTTTATATACTACTCATTTATTATTTATTTATTAAATATGATATAAATTCTTTAACCCCCTTCTCGTATCTTTTGAAGTATCTCAAATTATTTGGGTTTGACAATATTTAAAAGAGTTTGGACTTTTATGAATCGGCAGCGCCACTTAGAAATTTAATTTCAAGAGCATCTATTACTCGTACTGTACAATTTACTTATAAATTCCTTATTTTTAGGTATTGCATGCTGAATTAAGAGTATTCTAATACGTAGTGACTATGGAACATTCATTTTAAATGAAATTTGATAAATTAAAAGAATAAAATTATTTATCAGTAATTTAAAGTTGTTTTGATGAGAAAAAAATATTAAAAGAATCCATTAAACACAAAAATATGAAGAGATCTTTCAATATTAAAAATCCATGAAAGTTGCAATGAAAATACTAAAAACATAAAAAATATATATATATAACTTACTAAATTTTCTTATTTATTGTTTTCGTTAAGCATCTTGAATTTGTGCTTAACAATCTTTTATCTTACAAAACTCATCAATTATGAAATCCATTTGTATAATTCGGAAATAGTTGACACTTCGCTAATCATAAAGTTGTGAAATACGTGTTTGTAACACTCCGACCTAAGATTTAGAAAAATATTATTGACGTTGAGTTATATTCTATTGACTTATATTCTAAGTGTAATGAATACCAGTCAACAAGTCTTCTCACCTTACCTAACAAAATTACTAGTAAAGTGGTGGTTTTTGTATGAGATCTCCGACAAATAAGAAATAATAGGTTCAAATTAATTGAAACTTAAGTACAATTTTTTTTGAAAATTCCACTTTCTACATCATTTATAGAAATATTAAATGTCATAATTTGATAAAAACTCATATTCTTGGATTCCAATTTAGCCATTTAAACAAAATACCTTATATTATAATAAATAGTACCGTGTCTTTTATTTTTCTCAAATTCCTTCTAAAAAATAATATTAAATTTAAAATAGAAATATTAAATTTTCAAATATTCTCTAAAACTATAGTAGGATTATTCTATATTATTTCCATTTAAAAAATAATTCAATTATAAGATAATCAATTTAATTAGAAAATAATCATTATATATTAAACCATTAAATCTAGATTTAATACTATTATTTTTATAAAAATTCCTTAGACTAGAAATTCAATTAACTAATTCAATTGAATACTTAATAAATTCATTTAGACTCTTAATTAGAGTTTTCACCATTCAAAACTTTTTTCTTTTTTGACTTATGGAACTTTGGTTCCAAATTAACTTAGACTTACCTATTAAACTAACTCATTAAATTTATTTATTCATTAACCATTAAATTCTACTTAATGCTTTAACCTTTGTAACCATTTTTACCTTACCATTTTAATTCCATACTCTTTACCATTAAGACTTTAACTTCTAAACTAATTAACCATTTAATTAATACTTTCATTTAACCTCTAAATAATCGTTTTTACTTAGTCTATTATTCATTTAGACCAATCCAATTAATTGAGTAGCCAATTAATTCCTTAAGCTACCAAACTAAACAACTAACATAAAAATACCGTATAATTCTCAAACACATAATTCATCATTTACATAACATAAATTGCTTAACCTAATATCCATTTCTAAAACTAAAAATAAGTTTAAGCAAAGGTAAAATTTCCCTCACTTATATTACATAATTAAGCACATGATACGAAAAATCGATTTTCCTTCTTGGCGAAGGTCATCATCTAATCTTTTTATTACCTACACCACAAAAATAGGTGAGAGTTGCTCAATAAATGTAATCCATATAATGCATTGAGTGCTCTTTATGCATGCAATGGACGTGATGCATTTGAAAACCATTTTCATACTTTTTGAAATTCATTTTCCTCCTCAAACGTACCTTGCCGATTATGTATATAATCAGTCATTTTTAAAAAATTCAATTTATGAAAAACACCTTCCCTTTTCCTCATTCTTTTCTTTTAGAAATAATAATATAAATGGTACTCATTCTTCCCTTTCAAAAAGAATCCTTATCTTTTTACTTTTCCTAATAAGAGGTTGATCACTCCTCCCACATAATAATGACATTTCCCTTTCCTTTTCCTCTTAAAGGTTTCTAACAATTTCCTTTCGAAAACATGCCTTTTTTTCTTTTTCTTTTTTCTCAAAACCATGAAGAAAAATCCTTTTTATGGTCATGATATGCTAATGCATTCGAATGAAATGCATTCCTTTACCTTTTCTTTATTGTTTCCTCAATCAAACATGCCTAACATATTAAAATACATATAAATAACATTTCAGTCATAACATATACTAACTAAACTAAAGTATGAACATTCAACATCCAAAGAACATGTAACATAAACAATCAATCAATTACATATTTTAGATAGCAAAGTAGACATAAAACATTAAACATCAATAATTCTTTAAGAAAAGCATTATGGCCTAATTAATCATGGAACTTAACCAAATCATTTTCAACATATCATTACCCATTTTCATGCATTTTCATCCCTCTAGACCTTAAAATCATCATCCAAATTCAAGTTACCCTTTTCTCTCTTTTCCTTCACTTTAGGCCGAATATTGTCTAGTGGAAGACTAACTTCCAATTGTCTATTCTAACTCAAATTTTCATATCTTTACCACCAATTACACATTTAATCATTAAATATACATAATTTAGGTTAATTTAAGCAATTAATCTAATTTCTTCCTCTTGGCCCAAAATAACCAATTAAGCAAGCAAATCTGATTTTTTCAATTCATTTCATCAAACACTTTGTATTCATCAATCACTTAAGCCATGATTTTCCTTGAATTTTAGGTTTTAGAACATAAATTTTGATGAACATAACACCATCAAAATTTCACTCACTCAAGCCAACCAAACTCCAAACATATCAATCCTAACACCAAAAACACAATTCTATCATCAAATTCATATAAATCAAACATTCATAGAGCAACTCCAACAATTAAGCCATCAAACCATTATCAATAAAACTTCAAATCATCATCTAGTACACATCAAAAACATAAGTTTCTTGTGGTGTAGTAAGGACTACACTTACCTCACTTAAAGCTTGATCATTCTTCACTTTTTTAGCTTGAAATCCTTTCTCTTTCTTCCTCCACCAAGTTTCGGCTCAATCCTTTTTCTTTTTTCTTCTTCTTTGTTTACTCCTCTAATCTGGTTTTATTGTGATTTTAGGATGGCTCTAGGGTAGCTAAGGTGCTTTGGAGTATTGGTTTGGTGAATTTCCTCTTTGTTTTACTTGAGCTCACCTTGGTGTAACCTTGAATTTTCAAGTTTCTAACATATCTTTCATCTCCTTCTCCCATATTTATACCTAAGGTTTTTCCTTAAGATTAATCCAAGCGCATCATACTTGGTTTGATCTTAAACCACGAAAATAAATAGCTTTTTTATATTTTTCTTCTTTCTACTCTTTTCTTTTCTTTTTCCTTGATTTTCTTTAGATATTTTTCTCTTCTTTCTTCCTCCTTATGCTCGACATAACCAGCCCTCTTTTCTCTCTATTTTTTTATGATTATACTTGATGGAATTAGTCTCCCACACTCAATTTAATTAGTCCCCCTAAATTACAATAATTTTATACTTTAATATGTAAACTTTTAATTCTTACAATCGACCTCTCCAATTTCGAGTCCAAAACCTCACAATTTCTCACAATCTAGCCTTTATTGTAAACCTTTCCAAGATTAATTAAATTCTCCAAAGTTGCCTAATTATTTCAATTAAGGACCCAAACTTTTAATCATTACGATTACACCTCTATGGTTTTGCAATTTCATCCCTACGTTAATATATAGCCATTAAAATTAATATTGCCAACCTCTAATTCACACTTTAATTAATTCTTTTACCTTCCAATTAATTCATTTATCTTCCATAATAATTAGATTTACATTAATTTTATTCTTATCCAAGCATAATTTTTCAATCCTTCCCTTAAATAAATATTCATACATTAATTAAATGAATAATTCTAGCAAACATAACGAGTTGTAATCCTCTAATTCACACATTAATTAATTCATTCACCTTCCATTTAATTCATTTACCCTCCATAATAATTATGCTTGCATTAATTTATTTTTTATTCAAGCATAAGTTATTAATCCCTACTTTAAATAAATATTTTCATCTATTAATTAAATAAATTATTTTTACAAATATAATTACTCTTCGAAGGTTTTTAGATCGAGGATATTATAGTATTATTAAAGAGTTATGTAAAATCATTAATGAGGCTTCGCCTAATAATTTAAACTTTTAAATTGAAATAGTTTTTTTTTTTTTTTTGACACATATCAAGTTTAAAAGTCTCTAGTTAAAATCTCAAGTGCTTTTCTATTTATAAAAAATCTTTACACTTTGCCAATCATAACTTAGGAAATTCAATTTTTTACCCTCCTTGTTGCTCACAAAGTTAGAAACATATTCCCTTCCAAAATAAAAGAAATAAATACCCTTTTTCATATATTAAATTGACTATCATATCTTTATTTTTATAGAAAATAATATAAATACTTTAGATAACTAGTTCATACATATTTAGTAAGAAATAAATTTAGACACTTAACATATAACTTTATTCTAAATTACCAAAATAATTAGTAATATGAGATGTATATAACGTAATTTGTTAAATTTATGATTGAATCCAAATATCAAACGCCCTTATGACTAAAAATACTCCCAAAAGTTACAAACATAAAAAACTTCAAAATGTAAAGATATGTATTTCATGTCACTAGTTTAGACTTCCAATTAGGGATGCTCCCAGCTGTAAATATTTGACGAAATAGCATCCCGTCGTCAT